AAACGAATGAATACATAATTTCTTATTTTAAATTTTGTTTTGATCTGAACTCAGCTAATTAATTAGGTATTTGGCTAACCAATTGTTCATCCATATAATATTATGATAAGATTTTTTAACAAAATAGCTCGTTGTAATTAAATAAATGCTTTGTATCTTTTAAATTGATAAAAAAAAAAATCAATAACGCACCGTCTTCCATATAAGCTGTTCCGTTAGCTTCTACACCAGAAATTCCAAAAATAACATCAAGTTTGGTAGCATGTGGATTAGCGAGATATCGTAAATAATCTTTTACCCAATGCATCGTTGCAACTGAACCCAATGAATTTTCCGATTTTTCCATTTCTTTAATCATCATCTAAATTTAAAAAAAAAAATAATAAAAAAGTTTAATTTCAATTGATGCATAATTCAGTCTGACTTATCATAATTTAATTTTAGTTTAGTTTTTTTTTCTTTTTTTGATAAGCTGTTTGCACTTACTTTAATGCCATATATTGCTACCTAATTTTATTTTAAGAATTTTTTACTTAGATAAATTAGAAATGAAAACGATCACAAATTGTTCAATTAATACATATAATATAAACTGCGCTTTTCTATTCAATTGTTGAAAAAACGAAAAAAAGACAAATCAATTAACTGAAATTAAATTAAGTTAAAGTTATTTTATCAAAAAAGCAATTTAATATTCTCAAAAATTTCCCAGTTCTTGAAAATAATTTCATTACCGTAAAATTGCGATATTCAATGGGATTGGAGAAATTTGGTGGTTTTCGTATAATATAATTGATACTTAAATAATCTGGCCAAACCTGGAATATAGCTTTTTCTTTTCTTTATCATTAAATATTAAATGATTAATTTTAAAATATTAAATGATTAATTTCAAAGACTTTCTAACGGGTAATTGAAGATACATACATAATTGTGTATTGTAATAAAGCAGCGTAGAACATTTTAAATTTAATTACGAAATTTAAAATTACTTTATTGTTACAATGAATAAAATAAAAAAAAATATATGTATCGTAGAAAGTGTACGGTATATATTCTAAATTAAATTAAAAAGATTTGAATAATTAAATTAAAAATTTCTGAATTAAAAAGATTTAAAGAAAAAAGAAAAAATGAGAAAAAATTTTTACATTTTTAAAATATTTCAAGAAATGCAAAAATTAATTTTCACTTACAATTTCATCCATAATTCGAATTCCTTCAAGACTTTGTGAATTTGGTGGCAAAAGCATTCTGCCATCAACGTTTGTTTCCAATGCTTGAATTCCGATTATTGCATAATAGTAATATGCGATTAATAATGCGACAGCAATAAATGTGGCCCAAAATGATGCAAGGAATTGACTGTAATCTAAATTAAACATAATTTTGGAAATTAAATGGAATAATGAAAAAAAAAAAAACAAAGATGCTGAAAATTAAATTATTGAAAGAATTCCCATTTGTAAAATGCACTTGATAAATGGAAATTAAATTGCGACTAATGAGAATTAAATTATAATTAACAGATAATTAATTGAAATTTTGAGAATTGATAAATGCGAATTGATTCGCATCATTAATCCTCATTTTGTATAATACGGCGAATAAAATTCCATTCCATTGTAAACTTTTAAAAAATTAATAATTACATTATTATCTGTTTACTTATGATCTATTATAGTTAAATTTAACATTAAAAAAAAAATAAAATATTGCTAAACAATTTTCAATAAAGAATCCAAATGCAAGAATATCCCTTCGGCTATATTATTCATATAAATATGAAATATTATTATGATTATGACTGTGGTGCATATTTATCAAATATATAGTAAATGTAATAT